TTTTTTTTTTTTTTTTTTTTTTTTTTTTTTTTTTTTTTTTTTTTTTTTTTTTTTTTTTTTTTTTTTTTTTTTTTTTTTTTTTTTTTTTTTTTGTCAGAAAAAAAGTAGTCTGACAACAGGTTGTCATAAATGAGAATATTTTGTTTTTGAATTGATGTTTTAAGAAGTTATTAATTGTGAAACGACATTTGGAAGAAATTTGTTTTGCATTTTTCTAACAGTATTTTCTTAATTTAAATAATTTGTAGCATTGAATTTTTATATGGTTTGGTAATATTAAGGAAATAATTCATAACTATTTACTGACATTGTTAGATAAAAAAAAATGTGTTTAAACACATATATTTTAAGTACTCTATATTAGTGTTGAAAAATTTCATTTTGATTTAGCATTTTTGAAAATTTTATAAATTTCGTATTAAACATTTTTATTTCATTATAGTTAGGGAAAGTATTCAAAATGGAAATTTCAGCGCTCTGCAACGTCTTCACATTTTACTTTTTGGAGCATCTGATAAAGTATGTATTTCTTTTATAACTTGTAGAATCTACTTTTAGAAATCCATGTTACACTTGTATTTTGCTACTGTATGCATTAAAATTAGTTTTTACGACTTACTCTTATTACATGAAAGCAAAGTATGTTCGGAATAAGGTTATACAAATGTTTCATCATTTTTTTTATATTTCCAATGGCAAGGCAAAAATTAAAATAAAGGAACAGAAATAAAGATGATACAGCAGCAAATTGACCGAAGTCATTGCCTCAAAAGTTCTCTGGCCTACCAATAAAGCCCAGTCTCAGAGTCGCCCATAAGGACTGCACAGTGGCGGAGGTGGTGTCTATCCATACATAGGGCTATTAGAGTTACAGAGGGGGCAGTAAGGGCTTGAGAAGATCCGAATACGGTGAAGGTGGTCTGCAAGGCAATCATGTCCGGTTAGTAGACGGAATTGGGCCACAGCGTGCCGATGTGAACTGCCAGGAACCCTCAAAAGATCTTCCGCTTTCCAGCGCTTAGATTTTACTCTGTTATTTATTTGTTCACTGAATTGCTTCATAGAATGAAAAGGAAGTGGAGAGGAACTCGATTGAAGAAGCCTCAAGCCCTTTTTTGCCAGGGCATCTGCTTGCTCGTTTCCAAAGAGGCCGCAGTGGCCCGGCAGCCACTAAAGAATCGCATGTTTCTGTCTTATGTTTCATCATTAAATAACTAATAATCAACTAATAATAACTAATAACTAATAATCAATTAAAGCTATTTCCTCGAAGCTTGTTTTAAAGATTTTTCCTTTTATCCATTTTTTAACAAGACAATCAGTAAAAATGCTAAAATAAAATTAAAATAATGAAAATTTTTTTTTTGTGTTTACATATCTCAATAAAAATTTTTTTTTGTGTTTACATATCTCCTATGTGTTGTAATTATTCTGTCTTTTTTTCAAAAGTGCTGTGGTAATTAAATACTGGAATTGATTGGATTATATATATATATATATATATATATATATATG